TAACAAACAGAAATATTGACTCGTTATAACCTGGAGGGAATAGGAGATATATCATGCTCCAGTCTAGCACAAGCTTTTATTCCTTATCGTAGTGAGACACCTACTGGCTGATGTGAGTTATGGAAAGAGTCTGCAGGCACAGAGGGAGACAGGATTTCCACTGTGTGGGTTTTTACTCATGTTCAGAACAATCATGGTGCTTTTTGTTCTTTCCCCCTTATTTCTTTTGTTTCTGTCATTCACACACAGACAGCAGAGACCAGCCTTGGAGAACGATAAAACTCGATAGACAGACGAAAACAGAACAACAGCCTAACTTCACTTAAAGCATTATGTACATCTGACACCCATCTGGTAAGTGTGGCTTTTTTTTTCCTTTAAAGAATGTCTAGCTTTTTACGTTGCCTGAGGATCAACTTGATTTTTTATTTTATTAAGTCTATGAAAACATAGATTGATGCTTAACCTCACAAGTGATATTTTTAATAAATGTCTAATTTGAACCTAGATAAAAGGACAACACACACATCGGTATTGGGCCAGGAAATAAGATAATTACAGATGTAGTATTTTTATATACAGCAGACTCAGACTTGTAAACACAGGCCAGCTATTGCTTCCTGTAGGATTACGCACTTTGTCAAACAATGTGAGGATAGTTTACATGATATGCCGGCGTTTGCCGGTATATCTGTCTTGTCTTGTCTTGTCTCGGCAGAACTGTATAAGGAAGTTAATGGAACAGGCCACTTGATGAAAAGACAAACAAGTAGGCAGTCAGGCACACCTGCAGGCCTCTGCTGGCCTTTGGTATTCTGAGCAGCTCCTTATTTTTCATTATTGCTTCTCAGTGTGCTTTTGGCTAATAATGGTCTCCAAGGTGTTTTCAGTGCTGAGCAGACAAGAATATTAAATTGTGCTAGAATATTAATAATATATCACTCAGTGATGTACGAGGATTAGATTGTCTCCAGTTTAATATTTACAATTCATATTATTATTATTAAACGCTTGAATAACCCCTTTGTAATACACCCCCCACACACATACACACACGTTTACATAGTTCTGTAGGTTGAAAATAAAAGTGTAGAATGGTTTTAAGACTTTAGAACAATGTATAGATAAAACAACAGCAAAGACAAATATTTGGTAGCAAATCTGGCCTGGATGGAAGCCAGTGAATCGGTCGGGTAAGCTGTTTACACTCACGGACCACAAGCCCCTTTCACAGAAGATCTTTTCCTAATGCTCACCTTAAGCTCCTTCTGTCCCGTCTTTCCTCAAGCGTAGTAAAAGCAGACTATAAATGTGCACATCCATATGGTGTGCACAGGCATTCTGGACCAATAGCTGAACCTCACAATCGTTTAACCAGCATTTCTTTACATCATAACTAATTTCGAGAGGGTACATTTTTCCTTGTAGTTGCGACAGTATGTCCAAATCAACCCATTTCAACCAGTAGATGGTGCTCTGTTTGCAAGAGGAGCAGTTTGAATGCTGCTATTAATGATCAGGATATCGTGCGCAATTTACTCACGGTCATATATTTTGTATGTGTTTTCTGTCAGAGGGCCGGACGGGCTTTGCTGTAGCTGAGGATGATGAATGGTCTCCTGCATTAGAGCTAGATGGTGTGGGAATGATGGACCTCCCTAATGGCCAATCCAGTATCTCCACCAGTGCTGCCACAGTCTCTGAGGTAAGGCCTCATCCACGTCAGTGTTTTAAAATGCATCCTGTGTGTACCTTAACTATGAAAGGTTTTCGTGTATAATTATTATATATTAGTATTAGTCAGCTGACATATTAAATAATAACATTTTAATATATTATGTTTAGTTTTTCTTGGTGTTCATTTTACAAATCTCAAAACGTTACCAACATCACCACTCTTTTTCATTTGGTAATCCAATTCTCAGAAGCCCAGCCATCAGTTTGTGTGTGTGTGTTTCTGTGTGTGTGACTTCCAGAAGAGCAGCAGCTCAGAATCTCTCAGTGATAAGGCATCTTCAGAGCTGAAGAAGAGTTTTGACGCAGTTGTGTTCGATGTGCTGAAGGTCACTCCCGAGGAATATGCAGTAAGTGAATTTTCTGTGTTTCTGTCGCAGTCTCTTTTCTGATTAACCTGCATAAATGAGGGGTTATAAACGTGCATATAAGCAAAAATACGATGTGCTGACTTAAGACAGGAGGAGATGGGGTGATGGAGGGGGAAATGGGGTCAGAGTTTGCATCAGTAATAATTGATGATGTCTGGCAGTGGCAAGCAGCTGCTGACAGTTCCCACAGCTGCCTCTGCCCCATTTTCAGTGACTTTTCAGTGTCATCTTTGGAAAAATAATAATAACTCGGAACAATGTCACATTTTTGTCGAACTAGCTTTACCTTACAGGATATTCACATGAAAAGAACATAATCTTTTGAACGTCTGCAAGCTTTTTTAAATACTTGTGCTTGTCTTGTTGTGTCCCATTCCACCACAAGAGGTCACTCTTGGTCTTATTTAATCAATCCCTGATATATTAATGTCTTTCAAGGTGGTGTCAGGTAAGTAAAGGAGTCTTAGGAGTAATGGGTTGTGCATTATCACAAGCCCAATTTATAAAAAAAAAAAAAGAACAAAACAAGAAAAAGCAGCATTTCAGTTGTTGAATTGTTATTACATCAACCTTCTTTAAGGCAACATGGAACATAGAGGAATTGTGACAAACGTTAGTTTGTATAAATATTTCAATTTGAGCAAAGTATATCTAACGGGTGCCTTTTTGCTCTCCTTCAGGGCCAGATTACACTCATGGATGCTCCTGTGTTCAAAGCCATCCAGCCAGAGGTGAGCAGTTAATGTGGAGAGGAAAAACGATGTTAACGGAATGACAATTATTTAAACTGAGTGGGAGGACTCAAGGGAGCTTTTTGCTTTACTGATGAGCAACCTTCAGTCCTTTGGGGCATTTGAAATCTTTAAAAACGTTTTCACATATATATTAAATGTAAGACTGCACTCTCTGTCAGCAATTTAATTTAAGCACATTTGTGGCACTGTGCATGTTAGCTAACTTGGGTTAAGCGTCAGGTTTACTTGGCTTTTATAACTTCAGAAGACACTTGGGTACCTTGTTCAACAAATGAACTCGTGCCCTTTGTTGATTATAATAAATAGCTTAATCTTAGACTTAAGCATTGTCATATTTGGTTTCTGACATTCACTTAGTTTAGAATAGCAATTTGAAAAAAGGCGCATCAAAACTAGCAGTGGGCATTTAAGTGAAAAGGGAAGACAGTAGACAGGTTTCTAAGAGGGGTGTAGCAGCTGGATCGGTTGTATTCAAAGCCAACCAAAATGAGTACACAAATACAACATGAATGTGCTAATTTTATTCACTGAAAGATAGAAATATTACTTCATCGCAGATAGATAGAGCTCAGTGAGTTAAAAACACTGTAGTAGTGACCTCTTAACTGCTTCTTAGGGAGAGAGGCCGGTATTTAACCAGTATTTCTAGTGGATGACTGGAAAAAAGTAGTCTACTAACAAATCCAAGAGATTCGTGCCATGAACTGAAGGGTGTGTATAAAGAGATGACTGAGATAAAGAAAAAGA